CAATTCTTTTTTTTTTTTAACATTCATTAATAAATTGGAATAAATGATTTCCATGCTCTTCTTTACTATTAGAACATATTAATATATCATCAATATAAAGTATAAGAAATTTATTAAACTTTTTAAATATATTATCCATCTTTCTTTGATATATTTGTGGTTCGTTTTTTAAGCCAAATGACATAACTGACCATTCATATTTTTCTTGAGGTGTGCTAAATGCAGTATGTTGTATACTATCTTCTTCCATTTTTACTTACCAGAATCCTGATTTACAATCAAATTTAGAATAATATTGTTTTCCTCTTACAAGATTTATTAGTACTTCTTTATTTGGTAGAAAGTAACTATCAAATTTAGTATATTTATTTAATTCTTTATAATTTATAACCATTCTAGTTTTTCCTCTAACTTGTTTAGAGTGTTTCATAACCATAAGGATTGGACTACTATGAGGTCCATTACTCGGTCTAATAAGTTTTTGTTCTAATAATTCTTTTATCTGTTTTTTAAATTCTTGTATATCTTCTATTGTATACGTCATTGGTCTTACTCTTATTATAATGTTTTTTTGTTAATTCTATTTTAGTTTTTGGGTGATGTGATTTCCAAAATAATAATGAATTTTTTTCATAAACCTTTTCTAATTGTTCAATAATTTTTTCTATATTTATTTCTATTCCTGTCTTTAGAACCTTCTTATATAATTTTTTTTTATTTCATTATTAAGAATTGATTTTTTCTCTCATTTATCACCACGCTGGATTGGCTGAACTCTATAAGGTTTAAATTCTCTAAAAAATTTTAATAAGTGTCCACAAAGTGTTTGTAACATTATTATATAATTATTTTGTTTATAATATTGAAATTGTTGTAAGAAATCATTTCCTAATAATATATCATATTCTAATTTATCATATTTATAAATTTTATTTATTGTTACTTGTTCACTTCCAAGAATTATATTAATTTTATCAGCACTATTTATTATTTGAGTACTTTCTCCTGTAACACTAGTTATTTTTATATTACTATTATTATTCCATGATTTTATTAAAAAACTTTTAAATATTATTATATCACTTCCTGTATCTATCAAAGCACAAGTTGTAATATTTGTTTCTACAATAGTAATTTATATATACACTGCTAATGGAAAACTTATCTGATTATTCATCTAATATTTTTTACATAATGTAGTTTGTCCATTATGAACAATATATAATCATTCTCTTTTTATACTATAATCTTCTAATCTATTTAAAAAACTCATTTCTAAAAGTATATGAGGGTTTATATCCATACTCCTATCTATGTAAGATTTATTCCTCCTATTTTTATTGGTACTTTAACTTCCAAATCTGTTATATGTACTTGTCCATCAAAATTTACATATTTATATGGCTCAGTTTTATGAGTTATTAGTCCTTTGTTTCTAATCAAAACTATATGACATTTACTAGCTTCTGTATCTATTAATATATTTGGTCAATTTATATTTTCTCATCCATTATAATATTCTTCTTCTATTTTCATGTTTCCAGCATTCCTATATAATTTTATTTCTTTTATTTTGTTGGTTTCTTCTAACTGGTTGTTATTATGTATTTTAAGACTTTTTGATCTTTTGATTAATTTTTCATCCTTAAATGTTATGTTATTAGAACATTCTCCTTCATTTAATTTTGTTATTTTAGGTTTATTTTTTGCTATGCTAAATTCATATTCTTCTGGAATTAAACTTATTTGTTTATTTGGTTCTATTATTTTACTAATATCTTTACATTATTTATGAACTTCAATATATGGTTTATTGGAATAAATATTCCCATGATTAGAATTAGTAAATGTGTATAAAGCTCTATATTCTATAGTCATAATTTGATCACCTGATTGCATAATATCATCTCTATGTAGCTTGAGATGTAATCCTAAAATTTCATTAAAGTTTCTATCTTTTAATGATATACAATATTTTGGATAACATGTAAACATAATTTTTTGATATGCTAAATTTCCTTCTATTGTTCCTAAATAACTATCTTTTAAATTTATTATTCTTCCATATATAAGGTTATAATTAAGGCTGAATTTATCCCTTCTCTAAATAGTGATTTAAACATTATTTGTATTCCTGCTAAATAAACATATTGAATTTTTTTACTTTGTTTTTTACTAATCTTTGTTAATAGTTCATCAACTGTATTTCTTGTTAAAAGATTTAATTTATGTTGCCCATAAGTTGTTCTTACATCTATGATTTTTTCTATTTTGTGATATTCGTTTATTGCTATTTTTTTTCTTTTCCAAATTCTGTCAAAGACTTCCCATTTTCCTATTTTTAAGTCTAATGATAATTTTTGAAGTTTTCTAAGCTTATTATTGTCAAAAGTGACTTTTAATCCATACCTTTATATTCCTTCATATTCTTGTATATTTATATTATTACTTTCTATTTCTTTATTCAGATCCTGATCCATCTTTTTCTGTTTCACTTATATATACTTATTGATCATAATATTCTTCAATATCTGATATTTCACTTAATTCATCCTTTATTTCTAAATATTATTTTTGTAGTATTCTGACTTTCTTTTTATCACAATCAGGACTTATATGACCTATCTCTTCACAATTCCAACATTTACATTGACTTTTATTTTTTTTGTTGATTATATGTGTTGTTTTTCCTTTTATAATACCTTCTTTTAGGTTTTATATATTTTTTATTAAAATTTCTAAATTTTTTAAACTTTTTATTTTTATATTTTCTTTTATTAACCCTTTTTTCAGAATTACATCCCATTGCACAGGGGTTTCCATATCTTCACAACATATTTTAATTAATTTTCCTGATTTTTTCATTAATTGTCTTTGTTGACATATATATGCAAGTCTTTCAAATAAAATTTTTATTTTTAAACCTAAAATTCTAGGTATTCCAGTGTTATCTCTAACATATTTTTCAAATTCTATTTTAAAATATATTCCCCATGAACCTGGTAACTTATTATAATACATATTTTGGTATACTTCTTGATTTTCATTACTATAAAATTGAACATAGTAATAATTTTTAAATTTACAAGTATATTCTTTAATTTTATACATATCACATATTGTTAAGTTTATTAATTTTATTCTAACATTATCTTTTTCTCTTATCGATTCTTCTTCAGCATTTCTTATCCAATTTTCTCCTAAAAATTTATCAGAAATATATTCCACTAATTTTTCTATACCTTGTCTATCTGGTTTGATTATTTCTGTTTGTACATTTGTTTTTAATAATGTTTTTATATCATTACTTATTCCATCCCACCAATTCCTAACATCTGCTTCAAATGATGCTATTAAGAAATCTATTCTTCTTTCAGCACTCTCCCAAGTGTCATCTTTATTATATAAAAATAATAATATAATTGAGTTTGCCTAAGTTAATAAAGATTTTTTAGCATCTATTTTACAATTTAAATCTAGTTTTGTTCCTCCACGATTAATTGGTTTATCATAATTATCATTTAATTCAAACATATCTTTATATTTATTTCCTTTAGGTGGTTGTCTATCTCTTACTTTATTATAGAATTGTCTATATGGTTTATTATATATGGGTACATAACTTTCATTTGTATCATGTAATTCTTGTTTAGAGGTTCCTACTGGATTAGGTCCCCCTTCAGTATTCATTAAAATTTGGTATTCACTTATATCCGTTAAACTTAATTGATAAAAATTTTCTATTAATAAATCTAACTCTTCATTCATTTTTATCTTCTTTTTCTTCTATTTTTAATTTTCCTAATGATTTTTCTCTAAATTCTTCTTCTTCTTCTTCTAATATCTTTAGTAATATTTTTTTCTAAATTCATCATACATGCTTCCTGTTTCTACTATTATGTTTTCTTTTTCTATATGTTTCTTTCCTATCTGAGTCATTTATTTTTCTATAAGTTTTTTTATCTATTTTCTTATCTTTATTCTTATTATTTTCTTTTAATTCTTTAATTTCAATTTTTAATATATTTATATCATTTCTTGTTTCTTTTACTTCATTTCTCAAATCTTGTATATCAATTATTAACTTTTTATTAATGATTTTAATTTTTTCATGTATTCACTTATTGATATCTTAATTTTTTCTTATTTCTAACTTATAAGTTAATTTACATTTTTTATCTTCCTTTTTATCTATTATTTTCCTAAATCTTCTTTCAGCTGTTTCTGGATCTACTAATTTTTCTTTTACTATAGTAAAATATTTGCTCTCAAGTTTTAGTCTTTCACATTTTAATTTTGTTAATTGTCTATTTTTTGATATTCTCATTCCTTCTGATATTAACATTATATTTTTTATTTCTTCTTGTATTTTATCCATTTTAAAAGTAATTTATTCAATTTTTGATGTGTATTATCAATTGTACTCATATTTTTCTTTATAATATAAATTATTTTCTTCATTTTCATATATACTAATAATTTTCTCATATGTATATATATCCTTTATTGTTTCTATTATTAATTTTTCTAATATTTGTTCTTTTATTTCTTTAGAAAGTTCTTTAATTATTGTCAAACTCATTATTTTTAATTTATTATGAATATGTTTTAAAAATATATAACTACTTTTTTCTTCTCCTAATCACCAATAATTATTTATTTTCTTTATTTTAATTTTCATGATCTCTATGGCTCTCATACCAATAAATGGGGTTGTTACTTAGAGCGAACATAAATCAAATAAAAATATTAATCAAACAAATAAAATAAAATTTTCAAGTTTCAACCAATGTCTAAGTTTTTAAGGACTAAAATAGAGATTTTTTATATTATGGTACCTTATTATATAATATTCAAATGGAGGGTATTTTTGGTATGAAATTTGTCTAAGGGCCATTTTGGAAAACTAACCCTTTTGAAAAGGTCAATTTCATGTATTTTCCCAAACGCAACGGATCGTTTAGCATTTTTATTTTTTAAAATACCATGTTTAAAAATAAATGAAGAGACAGATAGACAACAGACGGAAAAAAAACGGAAATGACGATGATAGATCCTCTGACACCACGCCCCTGCCTTGGACTCCTCTTCCACTATCTATAAAAACGCTGTCTATGCCACGCTACAATGAACATTGAAAATCAACGACCACCACAATCGCCGCCTGTCTCCTCCACCGCCGCCGTACAAACAACACCATCCATCCCTGGTGGGGATGCTCCTGTTGAACCACCACAACCACCAGCGGAGAAATCACAACTACCGGAGGCGCTGCCGCCATCTCAACCACCACCAGTGCCGACTGTCATGATTCCATCTAGAAATCCCAATGCCCTCTACAGCGGTGGTGGTATAAGGTACATTCGTTCCTTCTCTCTCTCACAATTTTTTTAGTTAATTAATTTGTAGAAAGCACTCCGATTTTACTGTACTTTGAATGTTTTAGGTGAGAATCCTAATATCAGGAAAATTAGAAAAATAAAATAAAATAAAATTAATAAGATTATCAATTAGACTGAGGAATCACTCATGGGTAATTTGGTAGGTTAGATTAGACGGGATGGGACATTATTAATGTTTGACGTAAATTTTTCTAGAATAGATTTAGTGAAAAGTCATTTTTCAAAAATGCGTGGTAAAGAAAGTAGGAAAAGTTATAGATTCATGTGCAAACTTATTTTACTCAAAGAGGAATGATGCGTTATTAAAAATGAGTTTTAAAGATCCTATGCCAAACAGGGGCTAAGAATGTAAAGTAAAAATTTACTAAAAACCTGATTTTTAGCACAACCAAACTGGGGCTAAGACTGAACGAAACAGGTTTTAAAATGAAATAACATTTTATACTGTTATTATTCCGAAGTAAAAATGGATTCAATATCGAACATTGTCAGTAGCAAGTGATTGCATCTATTTATTATTATTATTATTATTAATTTTTTTTTTTGGGTTGTTCTACACCAGTACTTGCAGATAGTGGAATTTTAATAAAACTAATCCATTACCATATTGTTTTTGTTTTTATGAATTTATCAATTACAGCTTTCTCACTGGAAATAGCAATGTAAGGTTCACTTACGGATATTGCAGTTTCAAGGGCAAACGTGCATCCATGGAGGATTTTTACGAGACAAGGATATCGGAAGTTAATGGTCAAATGGTTGCTTTTTTTGGAGTTTTTGATGGTATGTCTCACATTTCAATCATATCTTCATTCTCGTACAGTTTTTATATCGTAATGAACTGAAAAGTTATTGTNGTTTTTGATGGTATGTCTCACATTTCAATCATATCTTCATTCTCGTACAGTTTTTATATCGTAATGAACTGAAAAGTTATTGTGGTTGTGGACTCGTGTATATTATACTTGATATCAGGACATGGTGGGTCGAGAACTGCAGAGTACCTTAAAAACAACCTTTTCAAAAATCTTAGTAGTCACCCCGACTTCATTAGAGACACACAGTCAGCAATAGGTATGAACTTGTGAAAACCCATGTCTTGTTATATTCTTTGCCTTGTCCATTTTCATCTCTTTCATAATATATAACGGGAATTTCTTCATTGCAGTCGAAGTTTTTAGACAGACTGATGCTGATTACCTTAATGAAGAAAAAGGCCAGAAGAAAGATGCAGGTTCAACTGCATCAACTGCTGTTGTCGTAGGCAATAAACTTCTAGTTGCAAATGTTGGAGATTCAAGAGTTGTAGCTTCTATAGCTGGTTCAGGTCAGTCTGTTGCTTCTTAACTATCACGAATTGCAATATTTCCATCCGAAATGGCTTAGCTTTGTGCGCCTTGGAGTGTGGCTTTTTCTATATGGAAAGGAAGAGTTTTTGTATTATTCAAGAACCATCAAAACAACAATCTTCTTCATGGTAGTACTCGATTTAGTGAATTCAACAACAAAGTTCTTAAAATGTCAAACATATCAATTAACTAGTGTTGGAAAGAGTGGGTTCTTGGGTTTAAACTCAACGACGACTGGCACAAGCATCTGGGTGAAATAATAATTTTCTTTCATAACTTCAACATGAATAACTTATCCTACTAATTTTCATAATATGTACATGTAAGTTGTTTTCTCTCTATCTTTTGCATACACATTATAATTAAATATGATACTTATCCTACTATTTTTCATTGTCTTTCTGGTTATTCTTGCTGCCTCATTAGCCATTCCTTTATCCATTGATCACAAGCCTGATAGATCTGATGAACGAGAAAGAATAGAACAAGCTGGGGGCTTCATTCTTTGGGCTGGTAACTGCTATCTTTCTTCAGTTTAATTTACTTTTCTAATTCGTGAATTTCTCTATTATATCTTTAGTGTATAATTGAAAGTTATCTGTTTTGAAGTAGTTGCCCCATCCCCATGAATTGGAATTCGAATCTGTTTGCATGAATTGGGTGAAGCAGCAAATATCTATGTTCATCTTTTATGGTCTTTGATTCGAGATCTGACATCAGCTCCATTGACCATCTCTAGTGACTGTATTTTATTATAATCTTACTTATATTGACGACCTATGATGCACCAATATGAACACGTGTATCCTACACGATACGTGTCGGATATGTCGATTCATGATTTTTCAACAACGTACCGATACGACACATCTTCAACACTTTCATTAAATTCTTTAAAATTCTTCATTTATATAGTTTAAATTTAGTTTTATACTTATTATTGATTTTTCTTGTTAAAATCTTTTAAATATGAGTATTTATTTGTTATTTATTAATAACTGAGTTAAAAATATATTATAGTTATAGAAAGAAAGAAAAATGACTACTGTAGAGTGTCAGACGCGGACACGCTACCCTACCCTAGTTAGAGTGTTCGTGCTGTAGAGTTGACGACAAAGCACAAAGCTTTCACAAGTCCTTTTCATTTCTTTTTTGGAAGAAAGTATAATTTCATTGACGTTTTATCTAGTGATAATGCGATACCATTTCTCCGATGTCATAAACCATATTGTTTCATGGGATTGTTAATGGGAATGGATTTATGTAATGTCCTTAATGTGGTGTATATATGAGTTCATGTCGTTCAGTAGAGTTCTTAGTTGCACTTGACTTCATCAGGGACATGGCGGGTTGGTGGTATTCTTGCCGTTTCTCGTGCATTTGGAAATAAATTTCTCAAACCATATGTTGTGGCCGAGCCCGAAATTAAGGTAATCTTTGGTTTCCCTTGTTTCTGGATTAAATCTGTTTGCTGTCGTGTTTGAAGAAGTAAAATCTAATAAATGATAGTATANTCGTACAAGATATAAAAGACGCCGAAGTAGCATCAAGAAGACTTGTAGAAGAAGCCTATATGAGAGGGAGTTCAGACAATATTACTTGTATAGTTGTTCAATTTGAGAAATTATGATAGCACTCAACAAAATCACTTCATGTGGTTGATGGATACCCTTGAAGATTTGTATGTTGACCATTGACACAATCATCGTCAGATAGTTTTTCTTTGGTGGCACATTGCAAAGTACTATGTGATCGAAAAAGTTTATCATCAAACATTATCAGATGGTCTGCAAAACGTAAACGATATGTTCTTCGCTTGTCATTGTCGACGAGATTGGATCACCAGAAAAACCTTCTTCAGAGAGTTGCAGCCATCAAGAAATACAATTTTCTTTGGCATTTGGGAGATTATAGTAATAGGCTAATTTCAATGTAATTGATTTTGAAATATCAGACTTAATCCGTTGTTTAGTTCGACCTGTTTTATGCACATTTATACAAGAAACAGTGTCTTTGCCAAGCTGGCCAGACGCCTGCCGGTAGTATGTCACACCACCTCAGATCAGAGGGAGAAGCGAGACTTCATATGTAATAACATAAGAAATGAACACAACAATTTTGCTACATTAGATAAAAATACATTGCCCAAGACAAACTCTTTTTTGATCAAACAACATAGAAAGGCAAGAAAAATAAATAAATTCAACAACAGGTGCTCGTGGCATCGGATTCTGGAGGTTTCTGTTTGAAGATGTTCTTCTTAACACCAGCTGAGCCTTCGGCCAAAAGACTCGGTGTGTCCAAAATCTGCCAATAGAAGTTTAACGATGAATGCAAAAAATAAGATGCCAGCATTAAGGAGCCAAGTGTATACAAACAAGTCTGAATAAAGATAAAATAACTAGATTGATGTAGCATAGATGTCACGGGCATAAATTTGATGTCAATTATATCCCCACATTGAAAGTAATGTAGGCAACGTACGCTTAAAAATGGAGCCTAACAGGTTGTACGCTTAAAAACGAAGCCTAACAGGTTGTCAGCAAAGAAACGTAACATTTTATATGCGATGGAGATTCACATGCACACATAGAAGACTTCCATTTTATCTATGGCGTTCATTTGATACGAGTTTTCTGCAAAAGAATAATCTGCTCCAAGTCATATTACATGGACTGATGCTCTACCCTGACCTGTCTGTTGTAGCAATAGAAATGGCGGAATTAAAACCTGCATGACCAAAAATGGAACAGCGAGCAGAAGGTAGAGACTCGGTAGCATATTTGTCTTTCCAATTGAAATCCAACTAGTTTAACAGTTGAATTGATTGAAACTGTTTACTGGGGACTTTAGTGCTACAACTATGGAAGGTTGGGGACTTAAATCTCAAAACGTAAAAGTTGGGGATCCAAATACTACATCTCCCATAAGTTGCAGACCTGCATAGCAATTTTGTCTTTTTCGCCACACGTTCATTCGACATTGTAGACATAGATTGAATTCTAGCTCAAGCTAAAAATAGTTAGATTATTTTTAGTCATCACAAATGAGGTTAAGACCCTAAAATCAGAAACTAAAAATGGTGGGAAAAACCTAAACTAAGCAATGCGAGCATATAAAACAACCCAAAATGTGCATGTAGTTGGATTCATTTTCATCCTATGCAAAAGATGGATGACAATTTCAAACAAAATACTACAATCACACTTGCCTTCAAAACAAGTTCCTCAAAACATTGCTCCACATTGACCCGAGTTTTGGCACTACACTCAATGAACAGGCATCCATACTCCCTTGCAAAGTCGATTCCCTCTTTTTTGCTGACGACCCTTTCATCTTCCTGCAAATATATTATCAAGAAGGTTATGGTAATATTCTATAATATTTCACAGATATACGAGAAAATGGAGCATAAGACCAAAACCATGAAATAAAAAGGAAGACATATGCTTAAATTGTCTTCCCAGAAAATGAAAAAGAGATACCTTATCAACTTTGTTGCCTACAAGCATCTTGATACAATCTTGATTTGTTGAGTAGAGGTCAATTTCTTTAGCCCATATATCAGACAGATTTGTAAATGTTTCTCGTCGAGTCACATCATAAGCTGTTCCGTGGTAAATGGTTAAATATACATGAAAAGGTTTTACTATATCCGTGGAGATAAAAAATTGCACATAAAAGGAACTAACAGAAATCTCTTAAAAAGTAAAATAATTACCATCCGTAATCTATAGTGTATTTATGTGTGTCAAATATATCTCATCACCTGTTGGTATTTGCTTAAAAACCTCAGTAAAAATGAAAGGAAAAAAGTGTTTACGAACAATTTAAATTATAAAAAGGTAGAAATAAGTAGTGGAAAGTGGGTAGTACTAGTGGATCGAATGTGTGAATAAAAGTGGTTTGAGTGTTTATAAACCGTTTACAAACATGAGCCTTTTTTCTTTTTTTTTTT